CTCGGCGAACCCGTAAAATATACCTTAGACAAGAGTGGTCAAAGGCAGATAACTTCTTAATATCCTCCACTCTCATTGGCCACGTCTCAGAACCATATAATAAGATCGAACGCTTTCATTTTTATAGTGATTTCACGACGATTCCATAAAAGTTTCGTCAACCGGAAAAACGCATTTCTAGCTGCCGTGATCCGAGTTATAATATCTTTTGCCTGTCCATTTGGTATTAGAGTGGACCCAAGGTATTTGAAATCAGGCACTTCCTCAACCGGCAAGAAAGAGGCTTTTTATCAGCTTCTTGCACATAAGACGAAAAGACTTTCATTTTATTTAAATTGATCCTATTCTGATTCTTGCTGCAGTTTCTGACACGTTATTTAGTATTACTTGCATTTCGTTATAACTGCCAGCAAAAAGGACTACATCATCAGCGTATTCAAGGTCTGTGATACGATGCTCTGGACTAATTCGGACACCTCTTGAGTGCCGACAAGCATTATCCAGTCTATCGCATAGTTGAATATTGTGGGAGAAAGGAGCCCTGACGGACACCTGTTCTTATTTCGAAGGAATCTGTCAGTTCCCCATATACACAGACCTGCGCCGTCGTGCCCTCATAAAATGCCTTTATGAGTCTAATGATTTTCTCTGGAACACCATCATGTTCCATCACCCTCCAAAGCGCCGCTCTATCAATTGAATCAAAAGCAGCCGCAAAGTCGATGAAACACGTGACAGTAGGTTGCAAATATTTGAAGCAATGTTCCAACACCCTTCTTAACGTGAATATCTGGTCAGCACAATCGCGCCCTGGTCTGAAACCAGCTTGATTAGGGCGCATCCTGGTGTCCCGTACTTCCATAAGTCTGTTGAATAGTAGGGAAGCGAAAATTTTTGATAAATAGGCTGATTCCTCGATAATTATCGCAGTATGTCCTATCAACTTTCTTGAGAATTGAGAATTACTTTGCTCCAATCATCTGGTAATATTTCTTTTTCCCATACTAGAGATTTGTTGAAAGTGCGTTATGAAGGACAATGGACAGCATTTGAAAAGCTCAGCCCGAAGACCATCTTCTCCTGGAGTTTTGTTGGCCTTAAGCTTATGGATAACTGAAATTATTTCTTCTTCTGTTGGAGGCTCGCAATTGCAAACGTATGCTTCGGCAAACGTATCAGCTATATCAGGGGAAATAGATGGCGCTTCATGGTTAAGTTTGGCCTCAAAGAATTCTTTCCATCTTATGAGGCGATCCTTAATATTTTTAATTAGTACGCCATTGTTGTCTCTTACCATGGTCAGATCCATGAAGATTGCCCGTTTCAGCTCCGCGATAGGAACGACTATCTAGTACGAAACTCTTCCAACGGCGATTGACTAAGATATAATCAATCTGGTTGAAGTGTTGGTTATCCGGGGAGTTCCGCGTGACTAGATGTTTTTTATGATGCCGGAAGCAAGTATTAGTAACAAAAAGTTCATGCTCTTCGGCATAACGAAGAAGACCCCATTGGCCCACCGATCTCCGATGCCATATTTGCCAATTGTTGAGGTTATCGCAGCTGCATTATGACCTACGCGAGCATTCCAGTCTCCACCGATTATGATCATGTTATGTTTCGGTAGAGACTTTGTTAGCAGTTGGAGTTCCGCATAGAACTTGTCTTTATCACGGTCATCTGCCGACAGCGTTGGAGCATAGACACTGATGACCGAGATATTGCAGAACCCTTACCCTTAAAACGGTCATAGGCCATACGGTCGTTTACCGGTTTCCACTCAATCAAAGCGGAATGGGCCTTGTCAGACATGACAATCGCTACGCCATTTCTTCCCGAGTTATTCAAAGCACCACAGTGATATAGCCAGTATCTCTGCTCTGAACCAGGATTAATAACTTCTCGAGACCCAAAGTAAGGAAGAGATTGAAAATTTCAATAATAATAATTATTGCGAGTGGTTGATTGTTGAAGTTGCTCTGCCATTTATAATATTATTTTATCTTTATTATATCGGTCATTCAATATTCAATATATTTTACACCAAATCAATATTTTTTTCAATATTTGGAGAAAAAAAAAATTATTAAGAAATTATTCTCGATTTATTTTGTTTTACTTGGAAATTATTTCTGGTAACAATTCAGCTACGTTCAGCTAAGTTCTCTTGAACTTTTAATTTTTTTTTCTTTTTTTTCTTTTGTCTTTGGCAGGAGTAAACCTGCTATTATGTCAAAAATCCGGGTGGCTGCTGGGGACCCACCTGTAACTCTATCCCCAAGTGACTCTATGGTGAAAGGGTCAGATACATCAGAAGGGTCAGAACCGATGTATAACCACATTTATAAAATCTATTTATACCTATCGTTAACAAATAAAAACTTACATGCAACAATAAAGCAGCAGCCAGGAAAGATAATCCTTGACAATAGCTAACTTCTTCATCATATAATGAATAAGCCTTACTGATTCTATATAAGGATTCTTGACCATCCCCACCAGCTTTTTTGAAATAATCATGCGCAGGAAATGTTCGATGAATATCACGCAATATAACTTGTTCCGATGGGCATTCCTAATAATTAATTAATCTGAACGATTGAAAAAAAAAAAAAACGATTGAAAAGAAAAGCAAATAATAGACTCAGCTAGGCAAATATCACAAAATAATTAATGTTATGATATGCATTATGAAGGGTATATTTTTTATTATGATATGCGTTAAAATTTTGAATTATCAAAGAAAAGAATGCTTTGATGACGAATAAAAATTCACTTTTCCTAACAGCAGCCGATATGTTTGGGTGAGATCTGGATCAATCTGTACTTTAGCTAAATACTGCCACACTTCTCCGCGAAGAATATCAGGGACTCCGTTTCGAATCAAATCTCCTAATCCATCTGGTCGTGTCCTAAGAAGAATTGTGATAATAGCATAAAATAAGCATAATTTGTTTTTAAAAATTTACCCTTCTGGATCTGCTTTCCACTGATCAATTACATTCTTCCAAGCATTTAACACGTTTTCAGAACATTCCTGATTTACTTCACCCGATCCGGACAACAGTGGTTCATCACTGTCTAAAAATAAGCATAACTGACAATGAAAAAGCCATAATTATCCACCTTTTCGGGTTTATTACATTTTTCATTTCTTATTAAATTAGTCAAATTAGTCAAACAAATTCAAATTTTAAAGCTGAAATCAAAAAAAAAAATCAAACCTGAATCGTCATCATCAGCGGGATGAATTAATTGTGTCGGCATTTTCGTTGGCGAACGGCCTAATGATAAGCGACTAATTGATCGTTCGCGTTCTGTGACGGATTCAAATCGAACAACCTGAATAAAGAAAATTAACGAGAAAAATGATAAAGTAAATATTAAAATAACCACGTCATAAAAGAGCATAAATTATTTTCATAGTAAATATTCAAAATAATTAGTGCATTAACTGTAAGCCTAACTTTATAACAGCAGGTGGAAAATGAACGATATTATCGTGTTTTCCTATCTTATTATTCTATTACTACCAGTCTTATCACAACAAACAAATAAAAATTTTCTTCGTACAATTTCACAATAAAAAAAAAGTTACAAACACTAAGAACAGCATTCTTTATAGATGAATCAAGTTGTTCTAATCCATCAGAATCTCTCTGAAATTATCAAATATTTCCATGAATCGAAAATAAAAATGAAAAACCGAATGAAAAATGTAATTAAGACAACATGAAACGAAGAAGCTTGAACAATCAATACTTTTTGACAACTTTAATAGATTAAATAAATACAATAGCTCTATTGTTAAATTAGATCAAAACATACCTTTAAAGTTAGGAAATATTTTTCAACAATAGGTCTGCGTGTAACATACCAAAAGCGTTCATGTTCATGAAAAATTCGCGCTTTACATTCAATATTAAAACGCACTGGTTCATCTAAACCAGTTAAAACCACATCCACTGCTACAGTCATAAATACACGAGTTTCTGAAAAAATTCAATATATGGGATAGCCTCACTTCAATTGTTCAAAATCGTCAAGAAGAATAAAAAATTGAAAACCAAAAAATCAAATCTCCAATAATCTGATCCAAAGACCATTTTAAAAAATCAAGAGAAAAAAATAAAAAACCTCGTGGTGTCTCTGTATTAAGAACTTCGAGATTTTGAATATGTGGATCCCAGATAGCTTCAATAATATAAATTCTTTTATCATTACCATGGCCCATTGATTGCTAAATTAAATTATTTTTATTTTTTATTTTTTGACAAAAATATATTTATTTTCGTCTATTTTTTAACGATGAATAAAGCGATCGAAAATTTAAAGAGGAAATAAATAATTTTAAAATTTAAGAATGAAATAAAGCATTCATTCGCTGTAAATTAATAAATTAATAAAAAATTGCAAAAAATTTTTCTTTTTACCATATCCAAAAGATGCATATCACCATGCCTTAGGTTACGCCCAGCAGCTAGCAATAAACCAAAACATCTGCAAGAAATTTCAAAAAAAGAACTTTTGACATTCTGCAAAATTTTTGAATTAATAACATAACCTATTAATATGTTTATGCAAATGAATGGAAAATTTTATCAGAAACGATAATCGGCAAAATATTGGCATACATAGCAATAATTTTCCTTATTTAAAGCATTATATCCTAATTTTTATGCTTAATTCTTATGCTTATGCTTTTAAACTTTTTCTCATTTTTCCCTTTTCTTTCTTTTTTTAATTCGGCACATGGCATAATTCTAAAACTGTGGACTAAATAACTGCTATACCATTTTCGTTATAAAGAATAAATAAATTCTGAATAAAAATTTTACTTTCTAACAGCAAGGATACTTCGCCCTGTTGTTTGTTGAAGAACGACTACAATTCGCTTCTCACGGTCTTTGCGCAATTTAAAACAATTTTTTTCCTGTGGACAAATCGTAAATCCCTTTTTTGCATCTTCTTCCTTTAAAAAATTAAAACGATAAATGCCTAATGCAACCAATTATTAACGTTGTTCAAGGACTTTAATTATATTAACATTCAAAAATACTTGCTTTCATTTCTAAAAAGGCATCGAATTGATAATCTTCTTCACCACCCGGTGTCATCGTTCCTTCCATACTTGACGAATCATCATCCGCACTTTGATGAGAATGTCGCCGAACCTTTGGAGACATCGATTTTTTTGAACAGTTATTTTGGAATGCATTAGCAAAACATAATAATGCTTTGCCAGCCTTAAAATAAATCGAAATGAAAGAAATAAAATAAAACTGAAATTAAAATGATTAAAACTTCGATTAGAATATCAAATGTTCATGTTGGGCAATAATAATTATATTTCTATATGTACATAGTGAATTCACAAAAAAATAAAAAGATCCTTAAAAGAAGACAGAAATAAAATGAAATAAAATGAAATAAAACTATGAAAATAATTGAAACCAACAGCTTCAGGTATCTGGCACCTAAATACGTGACACTGATGTATAGCAGGATCACCAGCAGTTGCGTTTTTTTGAGTGAAAGAAAGAGCAAAACATTCTTTTTCGGTCGAATTCAAATGACCACGGGCACAAAATCGAATGCGATGCACAGGAAAATTGACCATCTCTGATTTTGATAATCCGTCATACATGCTGAAAAAATAATAGCCATGAACTTTGATTAAAATTTCGATAATATTTCAAGCTTTTTTTCATTTGAAAAAACCAACAATTACAAAGAATTATTAAAGAAAATCAATTTTCCACGAAGAAATAGGATCTACAAATTATGCAACTCACCGAACAATTCCAAAAGCCGAATCAGGAATGGAAAGAATAATATCGATGGGATTTGCTGCACGCTCTTGATTTAATAGCTGCATGATCTTCAGTATTTCCGTTTCACTACTAGGATTATCAATTTTCGCGCATCCCAAATACGATATCTTTAATGTTGCTTTTTTGAAATAGGTGAAAAAGTGAACCTTACTAAAAACCTTTCAGTCATCTCCGAGAAGCCATCTTTTTCCTCAAAAAGCACAATAATTTTATTATTCTTCTAATAAACGATTCTTTTTTAAGAATTTGAAAAAAATAATTTTTTAAAATTAAAACCTGTTCCATGCTCGTAACATCCGCATTAGACTGTGAAACGAAAGCAGCCATATCGAAACGACTATTTGCTACCGCGCTTGACCAAAATTCATGTCCATCGTCTTCTGATCCGACAATGAATGCGTTATTAAAAGCGTCGCACTTCGACTGATCGATGCCTCGCTCTGTTATCGTTTTATTTTCGCCTGAATACAAACAAAGTGAAAATAAATATTGCTCTTTAAGGAAAAAAAGGAAAGAAATTTCATTAACGTTTGAAATTCTATTTTGATAATCACAAAATCTTTTAAATATAAAATAGAAACGAAATTTTTTTCCACTTTTCCAATAAAAATTTCAGGAAATCTCTACAGAAGTTTAATAAATTCTAAATAATTTTAAGAAATTCGCCTTAATTTACAGTTCGACAATTGAAATCAATAAAAAAATAATGGAAATTATTAAAAGCAGAAGAAGAGGAAAGCTGAAGAAATAATGAAGCACTAAACTCGATTCCCGCTGGTGCATATCGATTTCTACTTTCGGTTAAGCAGTATACTTTTTGCATCGACGCAAATTTTACTCATTTATTCTTCATTTTTATTGGTATTCCTTTTATTATGTTTTTTTTTAGTTCCACAACATTTTTCGTCCAAAACCAATTTTCCTAATTTAATCGCTTTTTTTTAACTTAAAATTACTAGCATTTGTACAAAAGCGATAGTTTCATATGAAAAAAAAGTAATGAAAACGAATTGAAAAAAAATTTAAGAAAAATTTAAATTAAATTTGAAATTGCCATATTTTCTGAAAATAAATCTAACAAATTGTATTATATAATATAATTTCCATTTCAATATTATTTCCATTTCTGGCGGTTGATTACTACTATAATACATTATAATGCCTTTCACCAGAGAGTTATTTGAGGATATGTGGAACACACAGCTGACTTCCAATAATTTCTTATTCAAGAAGTTCTATCTAAGCGCGAACTTCAAGTGACAGTCCAATCTAAGCCATGAATATCATTCCCAATCGAAACTCTAGCAAAGAGTAAACTTAATATCGGTTGAAAAAATTTAAATTTTTGCCTACCTATATTTATGCCCATTGCTAGCATAGGTATTGTAAAAAAGAATCAATAATAACAAAGGAAATGAATATTTTAAAGAATATTATTAACAAACATATCGATATTCATATTGTCGTAAATGAGAAATGTTTTAATTGCTATTCGACTGAAACATTCGAAAAATTAGTTATTTCATGGCAATAAGTGTTTTATCATATCAAAAACATGACCATAACATAACCCACCATCAGCAGAATAACGAGCAGAATTGAAAAACAGCTGAATAAACAAATAAAGAACGAGAAATTACATTTAGAATTACATTTACATTACAAATCCACACCGCGATTTCAACGTTCTATTTTATAAGAAAAATTTAAAAATTCAATTTAATTTTGTAAAAATAAGCTTTTAAAGAATAACTAAAAGGAGTTTTAATTTAATAAACCAACAGTTCGTGAAATTTACATCCAAATTACAAATTCGACTTTTCTAAACCAAAAATGAGAAACATTTCCAATTTTGCAATTAAAACTAAATTATGTGAATCCAATAAATTAAATTTACCATCATTATTATTATTTTCTATTCCACTCACTATTCTTCTTCGTATATAGGCAAAAAGACTGATTCTGAATGAATTTAATGTTTTTTTCAACAGCAGTAGTTAAGTGACATTTTATAAGCTAAGATTTTACGCGAGTGTAAAAACGGAGATAATTAGGAATAAAAATTGAAAAGGCAAATATATAATCGAACCTAAGCAAATCATACATCTTAAAAACTTGCTTTGATATGCAAATAAGACTCGGCCTTCAGTTTAAATGGCCAGGTTTGTTTCCTACCCCCTCCCCCCACATAGTAATTCAAAACCACTTTTTATGTTAGATGCACGGAAAATTTTTCCATAATTATCAGCAGTTCAATCCAGCGTTCCGCGTATTTCGCGTAGCTTTTACTACATTCTCGAACAAATTTGCTGTACAAAATCCGTGTTCTAATAACTTAAAGCTTCAGAATTTCGCCGAATTTCAGCATAAATAATTTTAAAAGTGAATGTACAAATATCGCTGCTTTCTTCAGATTTCAACAAAATTTGCTCCTTTTGAAGAACAAATTTTTGTTTTGTCGTAATCATTCTAATTAACGAAATGCATAAGAATTCTTTTCTCGTATGTTCTTTGTAATGTTCAACAAAAGCACCAAAATGAGACACTTTAAGATTCCTCTAAATGTAATTAAGGAAAATTTCAAATGGTTTTTCAAGAAAGTCCACAAAATCCACAAAAAATAAAAGAAATTTTAAGCAGAAAAAGAAACATACTAGCATAATTTAAATCGTTCGTTCGTGAAAATTCAACATTTCCCTCATCGTTCATCACTTTTATCTTCCGAAACCTCTTCACTATTAATATTATTTTCTGCAAGTTGATAATTTCTTCGAATCAGAAAAAAAACTCGCTTTTCAAATCAAAATTCACTGACAACAATAAAATATATTTTAAAAGTTATCATAAAACACAAAAAAATATTTGTAGAAATTTCCAAAAACAAAAGCCTAAGAAAAGACAGATTGAAAAAAAGAGAAATAAGGAATTCCAACCCTCACAAGCAAAAGTATAAAGCATAAAACTGGAAAAGACCGAACCAAAAAATGAAAAAAATGCAAGTATCGTAAGCTCAATTTCGTTTCAAGACCAATTTGTTTAAATCAAAAATTTCCTACTAGAGCTTCTTGTTGCACTAAGCTAATTGGCTTCTGACTCAACCGACAATCAGATGGTACCCAAACGTTTATAGGTTGCGCAGAACGGGCGAAAAAGGCGCTCGTTTGCTTGTTTCCCTTACCTTCCCTTCTGAATTTTCATTTTCCTCGCTGATCTCGTATAATTATTTTATGCATTTCCATGCGATTAGTCGAAGAAGATTGTTTATTACGATGAAATTACTATGAATTGAAGTTGTTTACGAAAACACGAAAAGGATCTACAGTAATGATTCTGAAACTCTTTGTTCTCTCTTTAGCCTGCAAAAATGGCTGGGACTCCGTAAGAATTTTCGTTTATGTCGATCATGCTTTGCGACATTCTACTGCCTAATAAAAATTTTATGGCACCATGCAAATAATCTTGGGTCTCGTGGATCTTCTGAAGAGGTCTCGAGGACACCTAAGCACCTCGCTCATACTTCGCTCTAAGAGTCACCCATCTGCAGCAATATTTTCTGACTTCGAAATGTTAGAAAATGCGACTGTCTTAATATTCTATTACATCGATTGGCTAGAGGAATTTTCTCCTTAGAGTTTCACAGCTATTCTAGGATTAATGAAGGTTTCGTAAATATTGTTTCACCTGTGCTTCTATGGTTGTTCACTAAAAAAACCAATGTCCACTCGGCTATTGCTATAGTACAAAAATTGGAAAAAAAATAGATAAAATATTGTAATTGTCACATTCAAATAAATTGGCTTGATTTTGACTCTTAATTCACATAAAAATCCATCCAATATTTGCTTAATTCAGTTTAGGAATTTTGCAATAATTTTGCACGACTTTTAACAGATTTAGCAAATTCATTTTGAGCCCATTTAGAGTGATCGTTTTCTTTTCTCATTGCCTTTGCAAGGATTGCAGAAATAAATAATTGCCGAGTAATAGGTATCCAGCGATGTAATAATAGTGACAACAAAAGTATCCTTTACTTCACACATGATTTAACAGTTAATTGTGAACAATGTTCAATAAGACTTCGAATAGAGAATTTTGATATCCAGTGATCATGATAAAAAATTAATGAATTATTAGGAGAGCGATTGCAGACGTATTTTGATATGTGTTATCGTATTCAGCGGACTATTTGTTTTTGAGATTTCTCTAAGAAAATCACGCCAATAATCGCTTTCCTCTAGCGGGTAAATAACTGAACCTGAAATTTACAGAGAATATATTACAGAACCTCTCACTCACCCTCTGTGCGAATCATCCTCGATCTCGAGCCCTCTAAGAAAAGTCTGGGAGCTTGAGGGTTCTGCAATAATTTAGCTGTTTCTAGCAGTGCACTCTTCTAGTCAGAGGCTAGCATATTGTTCCTGAAATTCGTTGGAGCCACGTTTAGTTATAGTCAATAACGCTCCTACCACCACTTTCAACATTCTCTCTAGTTCCTCTTTCAGGCCTCGCTCTCTTCCCTCTCACTTGGTATTGCTATATCTATCACCAGTGCTGATTTTTGATTCTTATCTATTACCATGATGTCTGGTTGATTGGTCAGTAGTAAAGTTCCACGGGATTTTGGCTTTTTTACTCTCCAGGATTTTTGAGGAGTCTCCCATATGATCTTAAAGAATCTAAACCGTATACTAGTCATATATTCCTGCAAATGCCAGCTATTTGGTTGTGCTTTTCATATGCTGTTCCTGACTGCATTTTATACCCTGCCAATATTTATTGGATGGTATCTACGGTGTTTTTGCACACTCTGCAACTTATCTAGTTTGGTAGATTCATGCGTCGATGGATCTAATGCATTTAACAAGTAAGTAAAATATAAGATGTGCAGAAATTGGATAACGACGATTATTGCACTTGATTTAAACTAGTTGAATTGTTCCACAGAATTCATGAATTTCTCGATGAAATTCATCATGTGAAATTAATTATCTATGAGTGTTAAAAAAATTACGTTTGTCTAAATATTTTAGCCTGAATTAAGTTCTTTCATTCTTTTATATGTCCAAGAAAGTATGAAAAAACTGAAAGCAAACTTTTTCCCAGAATTAATCGGCGATTTTTTATCGAAGCTGAGAGTACCATCATAATCGTACGGCCCATTTTGTTGATTCCATTTTAACATATTTGAAATATCTCGAATCTTATCCATCTCCCCTTCCTATTTTAACATGTAATTAATATAATTTTTATATTTCGCTAGGAATCGATACAAAATTAAATGAAATTGCTGAAAATGAATGAATAACTGCGGATCAAAAATTTTTTCTGCCGAATAATTTAATCAGAAATTTCTAATTGTTCTCAACGTCGCAGTAATGCTTATATATATCCTAACGATTAATCTATGATTGATATGAATCAGAAATTTTAATTTCCCTATAAATTCTTGGCTTGTGCCTCCTGCAAGAAACCTATCACTTCGATTGGTGCTATGAACCAACTTGCACTTCTATACCCATGTGACTCTATGACGAAAGTATTTCATGCTAATAGCCAGCGGAGCGAGAAAAGAATACCAACTACTAAGTAGTTAAGCCCTGAGATATTTTAAATAATGTCAGATATATTTTAAAAAAATATGAATATTTGAAAAGCTTTTTTTAAACAACAATATAATGGTTCAAATGCGATTTCATCTGACATGTCATGAACGCATGAATGGTGCATCCATGAATTTCACTTTAAAATGCGAAAAAATGACAATTAGCAGTATCTCGACAAATCGATCTAATTTTTTGTATTTTGTTTTTTTACGAATTAATT